CCCGACGCCGGGGCAGTGGTGATGGCCCTGCCTTTTTTTTTTTTTTTTTTTATTGAGTCGGCGTCTCCGTCGCCCAGGCTGGAGTGCAGTGGCACGCTCACGGCCACCGCAGCCTCGACCTGCTGGGTTCAGGCGATCCTTCCTTCCGCCGCAGCCTTCCAAATAGCTGGAACTACAGGCACGCGCCACCACGCCCCGCTAATTTTTTGAGGGCTTGCCCAGTTGCCCGGGCTGGTCTCGAACCCGTGAGCTCAGGCATTCCTCTCACCTCGGCCTCCCAGAGAGCTGGGATTATAGGCGAGAGGCCCTGTCTTCTTCTCCCTGGAACCTCTGGTCTGGTCTAGAGCTTGCTTGGGTCTCTCTCCGGAGCTGGGAGCCTGGATTCCGGGCCCCTTCGTGGGGGTTGCTCCTGGCCCTCAAGGGTCCCCAAACGCAGTGTTCTGCCCTCCTTGGGCGCCGCTTAACTTCTCTCTGGTTTCCAGCTCTGGGGGTCAACCGTCCTCCCCGTCCCGCAGTGAGCTTGCAGTCCTGACAACCTTGGTGGAGAGTGGAGTGCGGGACCAGCAGAGAATGACGAATGTCGTCGTACCGCGGGGCCCTCGTTTTACATCGGAGAAGCTGAGCCTCAGAGAGATAAAGTAACTGGCTACAAAGCAGCCTCCAGCACCACCCCCTCCCACACTTCCTCCTCCTCAGCTTTCTTGGCCAGTCTTGGCCTGTGCCACAGAAGGGAAAATTAAATGCATGTGGGGTCAGTGGTGACCTCCTTTGGCTTTGGCTGCTGTAGCAGCAGCTGCGTCAGTGACCAGTCTCCCCTTTCACTGTTCTGCCAGCCTCCAGGCTCCCCATCCACTTCTATCCCCGCATGGAAAAGGGCAGCCTGGGGTTTCAGGGCCAAGGGGAATGGAGATGAAGCCACACTTTTCCCTCTTGATTGGGCCCGGGGTTCCTTTATCTAAAGAGATGAAGAAAATTGAACCTGAGGATCTGAGAAAGGCATGGCATGGTTTTATCCCTTCAGTCTGAAGAGCTGTGCAGCACTGCACCCCCTGCCTGAGGACTTAGAAGATCTTGCATTTGGAAACCAGAGAGCCAGCATGGAAACCAAGAGAGCCAGAGTCAGGAAAAATTCACGTTGTTCCACAGAAGCAGCCCTTTGTGGGAAGAGGGCAGTAAGGTCAGGTCGGTTTTGACATCCTGCTAGGTCTCATTTTGGGGAGTGAGCCATGGATAACCACTCCAGCCTCAGTTTTCCCATCCAGCTCACACTGGCTCTCTGGTTTTGTCCCCTACCGCATGTAATCATTCATTTGTGCAACACAGATATTTTATTTGCCTTGACCGTCTGTCAGGCCCTACACTAATGGCTGGGAGGTGACAGGGCTCAGGGTCCCGGTCCCCTCTAGGGCAGAATTGGGCAGCACTGTGTGACAAGGCTACACAAGATCCAGGTCCTGCCTTGGAGAGCTGATGAACCGGTACGAGGGAAGACCGTTGTGAAAAGGGCTTTAATGAAGGCGTACACGGGTGTGGTGAGAATTGCTTTCCAGAGGAGGGGCTGAGTTACATTCCAGCAGGGTAGTTGGATGAAGGGTAGGGGGAGTGTAAGAAAAGGGAGCATCTCACAAAAGTGAGAACTTGGGCCGGGCTCGGTGGCTCAGCCTGTAATCCCGCGCCTTGGGGAGGCCGAAGTGAGTGGACTGCCTGAGCCCGCGGATTCGAGACCCATCTGGGCAACTTGGTGAGACCTCATCTCTACAATAAATCAAAAAATTAGCCGGGCGTGGTAGCGCGTGCCTGTAGTTCCAGCTACTCGGAAGGCTGAGGCGGAAGGATCGCCGGAGCCCAGCAGGTCGAGGCTGCGGTGGCCGGGAGTGGCCACTGCACTCCAGTCTGGGCAACAGAGTGAGACTCCAACTCAAAAAAATAAAATAAAGTAAAATAAAATAAAATTCCTCCTGCAAGTAGCAGGGGGCTATGGAGCTTGAAGCAGGGTGTGACCCATCTCATTTTCATTTTACAAGCTCATTTTCATAACTGCTATATGGAAATGGAGTGGCCAGGGCAAGAGTGATGGGGAGGTCTGTTGAACAGGTGATTGTACCAGAAGTCCAGGTTGGTGGTGATGGAGCCTGAACCAGGGTGGTGGTTATGAGGATGAATGAGACAGATTCAAGAGTTAGTAAAGAGGTAGAGGGATCAGGACTTGGAGTGATTTTATTATTCACTGATTCATCCATTAAAAATACCTGTTGAGCCGGGCTCGGTGGCTCAGCCTGTAATCCCGCGCCTTTGGGAGGCTGAGGTGAGTGGATTGCCTGAGCCCGCGGGTTCGAGACCCGCCTGGGCAGCGAGACCTCATCTCTACAATAAATCAAAAAATCAGCAGGGCGTGGTAGCGCATGCCTGTAATTCCAGCTACTTGGAAGGCTGAGGCGGAAGGATCGCTGGAGCCCAGCAGGTGAGGTTGTGATGGCCGGGAGCGGGCACTGCACTCCAGTCTGGGTCGA